CACACACACACACACACACACACACACACACACACACACACACACACTCTTTCTCTCTCTCTCTCATTAGCCCTATTTTAGGCAAAAACTATGTATGGTTTAATTTTTTTTCTTTTCCTTTTGTATGTATGAGAAGAGAATATTGTTCCTCACAGTCTGCTTTAAAAAGAGACAGTCTCTTGTTTTCTGCTGTGCACAACAGTCTAGCTGTCCCATGTACTTTGGGGATATACTTTCACTCATCTCTGCCTTCCATCTTCCCACAAGAATGCTGGGATTGCACAGGTGTGATACTGTACCCAGCTTTCAGTGGGTTCTTGAAATTCAAATATAGGTCCTCATGCTTTGCATGGCAAATACTTTTATTCACTAGCCATCTCTCCAGCCCCTGATTAAACTGTATTTAGACTTCTGCTTTGAGCAATAGGAAAATGTTTATTTTCCTCTTGTCTCCTTAGAGCCAAGATTCTGGGTCTGACAATCGCATAAATACAGTCAGTCTCAAGGAAGCGCTGGAAAGGTTTGATCACAGCCCAACTCCTTCTGCCTCCTCTAGAAGCTCAAGAAAGTCATCTCACACAGCAGTCTCGGACCCTTCCTGTAAGTGTCTTTCCCTGAAAACACATTTCAAACAGTTTTTCTAAATTATTTGTGTTGCTGACATCAGTACTTTTGTCAAGTGTGTCTTCAAATTCTAGTTTTTGTTTTTTTCAGTTTCGAAGTAGAAGCTTCCAGTAAGAAACAAATTATTTCTCGTTAGAAAAGAGTTAAGGTCATCAGTGATGATATATAAATGGTAATATTTTGCTTAAGTTTTAAATTATTCCTTAAAAACAAAAGGCACTAAATTTTGTTATAAAACCAGTTAAGATTGTGTGGTGTTTAGCTTGCATATTGTCTATGCACTGTGTGTGTCTGGTCCCTGTGGAGGCCAAATGAGGTTATCAGATCCCGTGGAACTGGAGTTATGGATAGTTGTCAGCCACCACATGGGTGATGGGGATAGAACCCTGGTCCTCTGCAATAAGTGCTATTAATTACTGAGCCATCACTCTAGCAGCTAGAGTCTAGCCCTAGCCTTTTGTTTAATTTATGAAGATTTGCATAATTGTCTTTAACCAACAATTTAGTTGGTCCTCTGTGTCTACAGCATACGACAGAAAATGCCTCCTCAGTTGTATCCATAAATGTGCATGTTCAGGCTTCTTTTCTTGCCATTATTTTCTGAGTAAAACACAGACAGCTGTGTTTTCAAGTATGCATTATATTAGGTATTGGACATTAGTTGATTTAATTATACAGAAGGATGTGCTGATGCAGTAAGTAAATACTTGCCATTTGGTGAAGAGACCTTAGTATATGTGGATTTTCATATCTCAGGGAGTTCTGAAGCCTATCCCTTGAGAGTGTTGAGGGTGTGGGAGGAACTGTTCTTAAAGTTTTTCTATCTCACATGTTTTCTTTGTCCTTAAAAAGGAAGTAATTAAAATCAATCTTACAGACATGGATTTCACTTTTATCTAATAACAAAAGTAACTCAGTTGTGTCTAGTCATTGAGCATATTTTGAAATCAACCATTCGAAACTGACGTAAGTATCCATTCTGTTCTCTGTTCTCTGACTTCAGCAACTCCAACAAAGATCCCTACTGATACTAGCACTCCTCCCAGACCGCATCTGCCAGCTCATGAAAAGATGACGCAGCGGAGGCCATCCTTCGGCAGCCAGGTATGCTCTCAGTCAGCGCCAGAGCCTTTCAGGGATTCATTGTGTAGTCACTGATGGCTAAAATACCCTTCCTCTGAGGGCCAGAATTTTTGCTGACAGACATTCAAAATCTTTCCTGTATTTCAGGTAAAATTTTTGCTAGATTTTTGTTTTTGATTGTGAGAAAGTGCTAAGTGGGAACTATTACTAAGTTCCAGTTGCCTTTGGTGCAGCCCACTCAGTTGAGTGCACATCTACGGGCCTGTTCTGGGTGACGTGGGAAAGAAAGATAGAGTAGAAAGGGCAGCGTACTTCATATTCAGCAAATACAAGGTTGTCATTGAACAATAAACAAATGGCATTGGTATTGTGCAGGAAGTACTCACAGGTGAGTATGAGTGTCACCTCATCATTTTTTATTTTGCTTTTAGTCCATAAACTCCCAGTCTGTTGGTCCATCATTAACACAGCCAGTGATGTCTCAAGCTGCAAGTTTACCAATTCCACAAGGCATGTCACAGGTATTTTTGTTTGTTTTGGTTGAGCATTTACAAATGATAATTGCATTTAAGCTAATACAGTTTTATACATATGTATATATAAATATATATTCATATATAGTTTATAAGTGCACTGAATCTTAATTAGAAGTATTTAGAATATATGGTGACATTTTTGTTATTTACAATGATTTTGGGTACACTGGACTCTTAACTAGAATCACAGGTGCATGTAACTGAAGATTCATGATGGTACAACAGAGACACTTCTTGCTTACTGTGATACAACATCTTACATATAATAACGGCTTGAGTAATTATATTTACATATTAATTCACTTATTCATATTTACATATTTATTTACACATGGGATATTTATTGAGTTCTGTGTATGCATTGAGTTACGAGTTACATGTATCAGGGATGCTGACAGTATTTGTAATAGCTATAGGAACAAGCTACTTGATCTAGAGGAAATAATACAAAACTAAAATACCATGTTTATTTAGTCTACACACATACTTGGATCCTTAATGCAACTTTAGAAAGTAGAAGAAGCCAACTGTGGTGGTACATGCCTGTATCCTAATGGAAAACCAGTAGTTTAAGGTTATCCTCGGCTACATAGTGAATTTACAGCCAGCCTGAACTGTATGAGCACCTCCCAAAAAAAACCTAAAACAAAGTGGCAACTGAAGTGAAGGAAAGCTGTTTTAAAATGTGAGATGGCTGGTGTCCAAAGGAGGCGTGAATGCTGAAATTCGCAAGAGAAAAGGAATTCCCAAAGCACTACTCTGTACCTTCTTGCGATTTATAGCTCTTTCAACAATTCAGTGGGGAATCTTTGGACTGTTGTATTGAGCACTAACCCTGATTACCAGCAACACTACCCGGTTACAAGCACTGTAACAGTACTGTACTATTAACTATGAAACTGAATCTTCAAACCTTACTTATTTTGAAGTATTAGTAGAATTTTTATGTAATATGCAGACATACTGTAGATGCTGTTTGTTCTTTAATTTCGGGTTATCAGTTAAGCATTGTTAACATCTTTATAGAGGTGTTTTCATGAAATATGTGACTAATATATACTTAATGTCAAAAAATACTACTGAGCATTCAGATCTCATGTTTTCATTCACTGAGTAAAACTAAGTACTTTGGCTTTTTGTTCCTGTTATATTGTTTTCTGTGCTTCTATTTTTTGGTTTGTATTTAGTAGAAATGCTTAAATTGTGACAACATAACATTTACCTGTAAGAAAAAAAAAACTAGTTACAATAAGATATATATGTATGACATAAAAATAAATACAACATTTTCAATAACATTTTTAAAAAGCATGAGAAAGTTGAGGTACCAAATTTATAATGTTTCTCAAGCCTAGTAGAATCTAATACATGATATCAGTTTGTTATTGCATCTTCAAAAGTCAGGGTTTGATGTTTTAAAAGTAATATTCAGAAGTCAGGCATGATGGCACAAAACCTGGGAGGCAAGAGGCAGGAGGATTACCAAAAGTTTGAAGCCAACCTGGTCTATGAAAGAGAGTTCCAATCAAGGCTGTATATTTATATTTATTGAGGCCATTTCATGAAAATATTTTCTTTATAGTCAGTATCTTTAGCACAGACTTAAAAAGAACTCATTCATTTAGTACAACCTTTTTGAAGATAGACTATAAAAGGGGAGGATGGTCATTTCCTACTTTTAGGTGCAGTTTACTGCAGGAGACTTTGGAGAAGTGAAATGATCTGCTATTATGTAGTACAAAATACTCACGGAAATAGTGAAATGAGCATTGAGTCGTCAGGAATGTCTGAATTGTAGGAGCAGCTTATTAATTGCACATAAAACCAGAACATTGAAAACACTGAATGTAGAGTGACTGTTTTCATTCGTGTGTGCACCCATTCATAATTTTTTAGAATTCCTTAGACTTTACTATGTCTTAAACTGGTCTAAGGATAATATCAGTTGAAAAGTATTGTTTTTTTTTCACAATAGCATAAAAATGAAATACTGGTTATTTGTCAGATAAAGTGATTGATAATGTGGGAACGAAGAAGGATACTGAGAACTGAACTTGGGGTCTTGAACATTCTAGGCAGATGCTCTGTTTTTGAGCTCAAGCCCTTTTTACCTTTTATTTTGAGACAGGGCCTTAAAATGTTGCCCAGGCCATCTTTGAACTCACTCTGTATCCCAGCTAGGTCTTGAACTTGTGATCCTTCTGCCTAACTTTGGATAATTCTGATGTACACACAGAGGAACTCTAAAGTTGACAGAATTTGCTATGGATTCATTCCAGGTGCGGGATACATTCACATTTGGTAAAACGTAGAAGTGAAGTGAGCAACTAATGAACTTGTTCTACTAAGTCGTTGAGTTACAGTATTAGCTCAGGTTGTCCTTTTCTCTTCATTCTCTTTCCTGCCCCCTGTCTTTCATTCTTAAAAGGCAGGAAATAGCCCTGGCTGGCCTAGAACTTTCTGGTCTTGACCTCGTAGAGATTCACCTGCCTCTGCCTCCCAAGTGCTAGGATTAAAGGTATGTGCCACACACCTGGAAGCACTCACATTTAACTGTAATTTGCTCTTATAATCATTCAAGATCCAGTCAGAAATCAAAAGCATATCGGAATTCAAGCAGGGGTAATGTGAAAATGTGTTAGCTAGTAACTAAAAGAAGAATCTCTAAAAAATATACAACGGCAAACCAGATGGATAAGTGAATAAGGAAGGGCCTCTGCTGCTAAGCCTGACAGCCCGAGTTTATCCCCCAGATCTACATGGTTAAAAGAGAGAACTGACTCTTCTAATTGTCAGTTGGACACTTACACATTCTATGCCATGTGCCCCTTCCCGGTAGTAAATTGTAACTTTAAAACAGAAAAAAATGACATGAGAACAACCTCCAACATAAATCGGAGGGAGAACAGCTGAGGAGGGACATACTGATGCAGCCTCCTAAGCAGCAGGAGGGCTTATATGGCTGTAGTCATTGGCTGGAGAAGGTCACTGAGGTGCCATAACGAAGGGCCAGAAGGCAGGCAGGAAGCGTCTGCTGAGAAACTGAGGCTTTCTGGGTGAGACTCGGGGGAAGCTATCCACTGGCACCTCTGACAGAAGAGAAGGACAAACACCACCATCAGGAAGATAAGCATCTTCCTTTGCAGCCTTCCTCCAGTGCCATCTGCCTCAGGTTCCTATGGGTCTACAGGCAAAGAGACCGATTTTAAGGTCCAGCTCCAAAGCAGAGTAAAGATGGGAGTTTGGAAACTGACACTCTTGACTCATGGCACTACTTACTTTTCACATTGCACAACTATTAGGAACCAAGGGATTCTAAAATAGGTTATTTTTTCCTTGCATTTGCTGCTTCAGTTTCAGTTTTCAGCTCAGTTAGGAGCCATGCAGCATCTGAAAGACCAGCTGGAGCAGCGGACACGGATGATCGAGGCGAATATCCATCGGCAACAAGAAGAACTAAGGAAAATTCAAGAGCAGCTTCAAATGGTCCACGGCCAAGGGCTGCAGGTAAGTTGTTCTGAGCACAGAAAACTTCATTCTCATTTTCGGTTCCTATTTGGCTTTTTTGTTTTTCATGAAAACTCAGATGCAAGAGGTATATTTTTCCCAGTATAGTAAACATTGGCTACCTGCTTAATAGTATAGTCTTTAAAATCCATGAATGAATGAATGAATAAATAAATAGAATCCATGTTCCTAAGGACATTTCTATTAGCATCATTATGTTTTAAATTAGTGAACTAAATTTTAGTAAGTTCAAATATAGAATGTAAAAGTTACATCTTATAGAACCTTTGAAGTAGAGTTTATAATAGTTTTAATAATAGTTTTAATAAAATACCAATAGATACAACTCCTATTACTTGACTAGACACTCACTACTTATCCAACAGGGCCATCTAGGGGACTAAGGCTTTGCTGAAGGAAAACTAGGTGAACACTGTATATTACTTGACTGTTAACTTTATTGTGTTTCCTTTCTTTCAGTATTCTTGCTCTTTTTTTTTTTTAAACTATAGTTTATTTTAACTATAGTTTATTTAACTATAGTTTTTTAAATAAACTATAGTTTATTCAAACTGGGAATGTAGCTCATTAGTAGTGCTTACCTAAAATACTTGAGGCCCTAAGTTTAATTCCCAGCAGCCCCCAAAAATGTAATTACAAATTGTGTGTGTGTGTGTGTGTGTGTGTGTGTGTGTGCGCGTGCACGCGCGCGCATGTAGATATGTACGTGCATGTGCACGCGTATGTGTCTGCACATGTTCTTGAGGGCATGTTGTGTGAGAATGTGAGCAGATATGTGCCACAGAGTATATGTGGAGGTCAGAAGATAAATTTTGGGAATCTGGTCTTCCCTTCCACTGTGGGATCTAAGGACCAAACTCGGGCTGTCAGGCTTGTGCAGCAGGCATTTGTACCTGCTGAGCCTTCTTGCCTGCCAAAGAAATTTCATTGAAATGCAATATTTATTTTCAAAGATGTTTTTGCAACAATCAAACCCTGGATTGAATTTTGGTTCTGTTCAACTTTCCTCTGGAACTGCTAATATCCAGCAACTCACACCTATAAATATGCAAAGCCAAGTTGTCCCTGCTAACCAGATCCAAAGTGGAATGAACACTGGACATATCAGCACAGGCCAACACATGATACAACAACAGACTTTACAAAGTACATCAACTCAGGTAATTGACTAAAATACCTAGTTTAAAAAAGCTGTGCTGGACCAGCTTTTAACTTTTAATAAAAATTAGAGCATAAAATATTTATATTGTTCATTAAAATATTTTATAGAAAATGGTACTGTTAAATATTTTGATATGTAATAACTTTGTGATTTGTTTTAAGGACCTAGTTTAATAACTATACCAGGTTCTTAGAAGTTGCAGACTTTTCTATATATAAAAAGTTTGATTTACAAAAGAGACTGAGTAACAAATATACTGAATAGACTGTTGAGCAAGCAGGAATAATGTAATCATTCTGTAGAATTCTGTCAGTTAGCTAGCATCCATCTGATAGCATATTTGAAAAACATACAGTATGTGAAAATAAGGTGTGTGACCATCACTCACTTGCTTTTAACAGACAACTTCTGTACAAATTTTCTACTTCCCTGTTATGATGATGCTTGTTTTAAAGTCCAAGTTTACCTTCCATCTAAGAATCCAGACTAAGTCAGTTACTACAAGTTAGTCTAGATTTTTCCTAGAGTAATATATTTTACTAGTACTTTTCTGTTCTGTTACCATTGTTAAATGGTGAATAGTAGAAGCATGCTCTCCTGCAATTGTTAGGTAATGTATAAAATCTTCTTTTCTAACAGAGTCAACAGAGTGTAATGAGTGGACACAGTCAGCAAACATCTGTTCCCAATCAGACGCCAAGCACTCTTACAGCCCCGCTGTACAATACAATGGTGATCTCTCAGCCTGCAGCTGGGAGCATGGTCCAGATTCCATCCAGTATGCCACAGAACAGTACCCAGAGTGCTACGGTAACTACATTCACTCAGGACAGACAGATAAGGTAGTTGTTATATTCATTTATTATTTTCAGAGTTGTAAATTGATTGACTGAAAACAACCTATATGGGCTGGAGGGACGTCTCAGCATGTACGAGTACTTGCTACTTTTCCAGAAAGATGAGTTCGGTTCCCAACACTTAACCTCCCACAGGTTACAACTATCTTAACTCCAGATGCATGGAGTCACATGACCTCTTCTGGCCACCTCCATGCCTGTATGCATGTAGCAGATAACAGTAAAAGAAAACCATTTAAAAAATGTGTATGTCTATATATGTGTGTGTGTTTGTGTGTGTGTGTGTATATACATACATACATACAGACAGACAGACAGACATACATGCATACATACATACATACATACATACATACATACATACATACATATATGGGCTAGTTATATAACCCAGGAATAGAGAATTTGCCTAGCATAGGTAGGACCTTTATTCAGTTCAGTCAGTTCAGTACTCAGTATTGTCCTTTTTTCCAAAACCAACAATTTTATTTATTTTTTTAACGATTTATTTATTATGTATACAATGTTCTATCTGCATGTATACCTGCAGGCCAGAAGAAGACACCAGATCTTATTACAGATGGTTGTGAGCCACCATGTGGTTGCTGGGAATTGAACTCAGGACCTCTGGAAGAACAGCCAGTGCTTGTTAACCTCTGAGCCATCTCTCCAGCCCCCCAATTTATTTTTTACAATAAAATTTTTAGTTTGTTGCTTACTATGGCCATTTTTTAAATTTTCAAACAAATACCATGTCTGTTATTAAAGACAACAGAGTAACATCAAGTTTTATTTTTCATCTCAAACTGGGCTATCAGCTATAGAGCCACACTATAGTGCGCTATCACACAAGGCTTTAACAGGCCCTGTACGAGTACACCTTAGGTGTTTTTAGTAAAGATGTTGAGCAACAGTAGGATAGCTCATCTCTGCTCAAAATTTTAAAATATATATTAATATCTTCCTTTATTTTCTTTCCTAAGTCTCAGATGAGAAAAATTATGTGCCAAATGCTATGGCAGAAGAGGTAGCTATGAACTCACTTGGTTTCAAAGCTTAGATGCCTAAATCGATGCAACCATTAAAGAAAAACAGTGACAGTATCTTGATTGAGAAGTCTGAATAGCTGAATTAGAATCAAGTTTTTTGATAAATACAGTTTTGGGGGGTTATTTTTAACTATAGGGTCTCTGAGCTTAAATACATGATATGAAATAGTTTCATGTTTTTACTTCCTTCGTACCTGTATGCTGCTCGCTTATATATTTTGCTTTTGTATTGGGCAATATTATTTTTTTAAGATAACACTAATGTGCAGACCAAGAAAGCTGCAAGATTATATAGGCAGCGAGAGCAGAGGATCTGTTGTTCCTTGGAGCTCATCTTCCTCAGCTTAGCAGTCATGTTTTGGGAAAGTTAACAATGAGCAAAAGGAATGCTCTCTGAGGGCTGGTTTTTGTTTGTGTTTCTTGTATTTTTGTTGCTGGTAGTTGGAACCAGAGCCTTCTGCATACCAGGCCTATACACTGCTATTACGTACATTCCCAGGCAGAAGATGATTTTAAAACCTGAGAAGACATTAAACTGGAAAGCTGCCATGAGTTTTGCAGAATGTATTTTAGCAACCATTTGTAAATATCTTTTTGTGGGAGAGAGGAGACATTTCAGTGGACATTTAAAGGCTGTTTTTTTTTCCACAGAGAGTGATAGATTAACAAAAAATAAAAGGATAACTAGCTCACAAATATTTGGTATGATAAATATTTGGTGGACCTTATAGGGGAGCAAATTAGTTTTCTGGGTTGAAACAAGCAAATGAAAAGTCTGGTCAAGAAAAGCTTTACAGAAGAGCTTGTTGGCCTGTGTTATAAAGAAAAACATGCCTTGAGGTTTCTGTGTTAAGAGTTTAGAGAGGCATTATAGCAGACAAATAGCTATATGTCCATGTGAAGTAAAGCAATGTAGATTAAAGAATGTACTTGGTGCTGGAAATGGTGAGATACTGTTTACAGTACTGTCACAAGGCTTCGTTTACCATGGCAGAGAAACTGACGCCCAGCTCATCTGAGAATAAATAGACTGCAGTTACTGTTTCTTTGAACTTGATTCATGAAGAAATTTTTAATTGTTTTGTGTCTTTGATTTGTTTATTTTTCTTTTTCACCTAGGCAAAGTTTTCTGTAAATACAAATGTTTTAAACATTATTTTGTAATAGTTTTAATTTGCTCACAAATTATTTGCCAGTGTAATAAATGAACCATGTTCACCACATATTTGACTCCTAGGTACCTTGCCATTTTGTAAAAAGTTCACTTTTACAGATTTAAAAATTTTAATTGATAAAATACATATAACAAAAACCTGTGTATTAACCATTTTTGAAGTGTGCTGCTCAGTGGTCTGGAGACATCACATGTGGGTATGGTTTCAACTGTCACCCCAACCAGTTTTCTTTCCTCTTTCCAAATTGAAACTCATTAGACAATTCCTTAACCTTTCTGCCTGTTGATTTTGGCAGCTGTCATTCTCTTTCCTGTTTATATAAATTTGACTGTCTGAAGGTACTTATTACCCAGCATTTGGAGTTTTGTTTTTTTGTTTGTTTTCATAACCTGTTTATGTCACTTAACATAATTTTCTCAGGCCTCATTTGTGTTTCACGCCTCAGGTCCTTTTTAAGGCCAAGTATTCTTCTTTATGAAATATATAGATAACATTTTGCTTAGCTGTTCTGTTACTGGATACTTGGGTTGCTTCTCATTTTTGGCTACTGTGAATAAATAGAGTTATGCACAAAAGCCTACACATGCCTGAGCCCCTGCCTTCATTTGCCTTGGCTCTCTGCTCTGTTTAGAAATGGAATTTTTCGTCCTGTAATTCTTTGAGAAACTGTAAGAGGAGTGTCTGGCTTAGTTGGTTAGTTTGTTAGTTTTGTTTTGTAAACTTTACATAGTTAACTAGAGTTACTTGGGAAGAAGAACCTCAATTGAGAAAATGCCTCCGTCATTGTGTAGGCAAGTCTGTAGGCCATTTTCTTGGTGAATGACTAATGTGGCAGGGCACTGCCTACTGTGGACAGTGCAGTCCCCTGCCAGGTGGTTCTGGGGTTTAGAAGAAAGCCAAGCATGGTGGCACATGCCTTTAATCCCAGCACTCAGAAGACATAGGCAGGCAGATCTCTGTGAGTTCGAGGCCAGCCTGGTCTACAAAGCAAGTCCAGGACAGTAAAGGCTACACAGAAAAACCCTGTGTCAAAAAAAAAAAAAAAAAAAAGAAGAAGAAGAAGAAGAAAAAAAAGGAATAAAGAGCAAGTTGGTTTCTCTGTGGTCTCAGCCTCAGTTCCTCCCTCCATTTTTCTTGCCTTAGCTTCCCTCAGTGGCCTGTGACTTGGGATATTTAAGCCAAATAAACCCTTTCCTTCTCTTGTTGCATTTTGGTCATAAAAAGCATTTTAGCATAGCAATAGACAAGAAATTAAGACAACAGTTTTCCTAGTCTGTTATATTTTTCTATAATAGCTATTCTGATTGGCACATACAATGGCTTTCCATTATTGTTTTATTTTTCATTTCTCTTAATGATTAGGTCTGGTGAGGACTTTTTATATGTGTCTGTTGAATATTTGTATTTTTTGGAGAAAAGCTCAACTTTTGTCTAGTGTCCAGTTTTTGAATGCTGTTTGATTGTAAGAGTTCTTTAGATGTCTGGTTAAACTTGATGTTGTCCAGTTGAATTTTTTTTTTTAATGTCACTTACCTGTGCTTTTAGTGTTGTGTTGTCCAAGTCCAGTGTCATGAAGCTTGTGTGCTATTTTTTTCTAAGAGTTGTACAGTTTATGTCTTAATGTTTAGATTGCTTACTCATTCTCAACTAATTTTTATTACGTCCTTCATCTTGAATGTAAATATTTTTAAAAGTTGTGTTTTGCTGTGTCTGTTTTTGTCCTAGTGTGTTCATTATACTATATAGTTTAACTGACATCCAAAAATTTTAAACCATTTTTGGTGCTGGAGATTGACCACAATCTGCTGTGCAAACGCTCCACCACTAAGCTATGTCCCTAGCCTCCAAGGAGAATATCTGAAAATAAACGAACCATTTTATGCATCTTGTCTGAGATAATATTCAGCTGACTGAGTAATGTGTTTGCTTTTTGATTCCATTTTGTTTTCTCTCACAGATTTTCTCAAGGTCAGCAACTTGTGACCAAATTAGTGACTGCTCCTGTAGCTTGTGGGGCCGTCATGGTACCAAGTACCATGCTTATGGGTCAGGTGGTGACTGCCTATCCTACCTTTGCCACACAACAGCAGCAGGCACAGACGTTATCGGTAACTCAACAGCAGCAGCAGCAGCAGCAGCAGCAACAGCAGCAGCAGCAGCAACAGCAGCAGCAGCAGCAACAGCAGCAGCAGCAGCAGCAGAGCTCACAGGAACAGCAGCTTTCTTCAGTTCAGCAACCGTCTCAGGCTCAGCTGACCCAACCACCACAGCAGTTCTTACAGGTAATTCTCCCCGAGGAAGCTGCCTTCAGCCATTTGGCTGTTTTATAACCAAGTAAGATATTAAATGAATAGGTTCGAAAAGGATCTGTAAAATCTGTAACAGCTATTGTGGAATTTAAATATCTACAGAAATAGAAAACACTGATTGGCTAGTGTACCTTTTTTTTTTTTTTTTTTTTCTTTAGTTTCAGAAAGCTTTTAAAGTATTGACTAGCCATACTTAGTTATCTGAACTTCTGGACAGAATAAGTAGCCTACTTCCTGTCCATATCAGGTCCCTTGTAGAGCCTGTTCTCTCTTGGGAAAATATTTCCAGAATTTAATAAAAAAACATTTTCTTCTTAGTTACCATCAAAGTAAAATTTTCATTGTGCAGGGACATCAAAAAGGACCCCCTTTTCAGCCTAGGAGTTACCTTATTCATCAGATTACATGTTATTAGAGTTGGACGCAATGGCACACATCTGTAATCACAGCACTCAGGGAGGCAGAGGCAGGCGGATCTCTGTAAGTTCAAAGCCAGCCTGGTCTGCAAAGTGAGTCCAGGACATCCAAAGCTGTTACACAGAAAGAACCTGTCTCAAACAAAAACAAAACAAAATAAAAATTATTAGATTGTGATTTTGTTTAGTTGTGTCCCTACCTGGCCTGGAACTCACAGAGATACTGCTGCCTCTGCCTCTTGCGTCCCGGGACTACAGGCGTACACCATCATGCCAGCTTATTAGAATTTTGAGAACTCCAGTAGGGTGCAGTGTAGGTAATCATTAGAACTTAGGCCCTAAAGTTGGGGTGCATTCAATTGAGTCATTGCTGTACCACATACACTTGAGCTTAACCTTGTCAAACCTCTTCGGTAAAGCTGACGTAATATCGTTCATACTTTATGCCCTTTTACCAAAAGCACGTAAAATGCTAAATATACTATAAGGTAAATAGTTAGCTATCATTGTTGGCCATGATACTGGCAGATGAAATACATTAATGACAAAACCCACACAGATCTCATGTGGATAAATCATACAGAGCCTGCCTGTCCATAGGATCCAGAAGAAGGTCACCTGGGTTGGGATCCTCAGCAAAGACCATCAGAGCTGGTTTCTAGACTCCAGAGTTGAGGAATCTGGTGGAGTCCATCTGGGCTAGATGGAATTCTTATTTTGGCAACATGGAATTCTGACGCAGCCTCCTTGCTAAAATATTGCCAAATCATACCAGCAGTATTTATAGGGCTTAAGTCTCAACTGCTACAATTAATAACTGGGTTAGCTATTACTACAAATAATAAAACCACTCTTGGACTGTTACTTAGGTGAATATAATACATATTAATATATATGGCTATATATCCTGTGAGAATTAGACCAAAGCTTTGTCTAATTTGCCTTGAGGTTCTAAATCTGTCAAAGAGGACAAGCTCTTAAAAAATGAACATTTGGGGCTAGGGAGATGGCTTAGTAACTGAAGGTGCTGCCTGCTGAGCCTGACACCCTGAGATTAAGCTCCAGATCCCACATGGTAGGAGGAGGGAACTGACTCCTACGAGTTGTTCTCTGCCCTCCATGTGTGAACCTTGGTGGTATACACACAAACACAGTGAGTATTTAAGAGTTATTTTCAATACAGTGAACATTCTCTTCTTCCCTGCCCCATCACAAAGATGTGTCCTCCAAACAAAGAACCATACAGATATTAGATAGGCAGTGCCTTTCATAAACATACTGATGTAGATAATAAATACATAATTTGGCTTTTCTAATGGTCCTTTTTGAAAATGTACTTGTGTTATTGTCAGGAAAGTAAATGCTTAAAATCCCTTTGTCTTACAAAGACTTGTTCTAGTAACAACTGAAGAGGAAAAATTGTAAAGGTCCCTGACAGGTTTCCTCGTCTTAACCTTAAGACCCCTTGTGTTTGTGTGCATAGGTTTCCTGTATGCGTGGTAGTTGTAAATGTCCGTCACCCGGTTTAGCTTCAGGTTAAGTTCAAGAATGCAGCAAGCGTGTTGCCTTTCAGAAGTACTTTACTTTAAAATTCTCCCATTCTCTCAGATAGTCTCTTTTTGTGTGCCAGAGTTATAGACTAACAAGTCAAAATGTGGTGAAAGAAACAGACTAATAAAATTGAGACTTTGAAGGTCAGACGTGGGAAATGAAAGCACGGTGTGGACAGTGATGGCAGACCATGGCGGGGCCTTTGTTTTTGTTGCTCTATTATTACCTCCTACAGCCACACAGAACTTCAGCCTCCAGCTGTGCCCTCCTTCCTTTTTCTTTAATGCTTGTACAGACTCAGCATAGTAGTCCCTTTTAATAAGGGAAGAGTTTGAGGCTTGGAGAAGTCGATGTCACACACCTGCAGCTGGGATATCTAGGGTAGCCCCAGTATGTGTAAGGCCCGTGCTTATTACCTTAGCTTTGCTCTGTGTTGTGCGCATGTGTGGAGGGGTACATACACACAGTATGCAAGTGCAGATGTATGGAGGCCGATAGGCAGGTGGTGGTCCTCAGTCTGCCTTGTTTTTCGAAGCAGGGTCTCATGGGACCTGGGGTTCACTTACTAGGTTGGCTGGCCAGAGCCTCAGCGATCCTCCTCCTTCAGCTCACCCATTCTGGGAGTACAAGCACTCTGGATGAAGCTGTTTTCTTAACCTCTGAGTCGATTCTTTACTAGCAGACCAGTGTGCATTGTCTGTCTGACCAGAATGTTTGTGTCTTTACCAGTTTTACTGCTTAAAATTTGGGCCCATAGAAAATAAAGTAAAAATATATGGTTTGTCTCAAAACAAATTGTATTTTATACCATGAAATTCCCAGCAAGAATTCCTTTGAAAAATTAAATTTTGTTAAGCTTTCAGAAAGAGGCAAGGCTTGTTTTTCAAAAACAGTTTTTAGATTAGCATACAAAATAAGAATTTAAAGCTCAAGCTCGTGTCCCTGTGGATTGACAATGTGAACTGAGAGTGTGAAGGCATAACCATGGTGCATAATCCTTTTTGTTTTTAGACATCTAGGCTGCTCCATGGAAACCCTTCGACACAGCTCATCCTCTCTGCGGCCTTTCCACTGCAACAGAGCACCTTTCCTCCGTCGCATCACCAGCAACACCAGCCTCAGCAGCAACAGCAGCTTAGTCGGCACAGGACTGATAGCCTGACTGACCCTTCCAAGGTCCAGCCACAGTAGCACACATACTTCCTCTCTAACACTAGAGAGGAAGGGAATGGCCACAAAGAGTCATTTGGATGACAGAAGTTCAGCAGTTTCATGAGGGTAGTCTTGAGTGTTCCAGTTCCTGGATTAGTTGGTTGGGAAACACTGCCCAGTGCTACAGATGTGCATTAAATACCAGCCAGTGGGAGATATAGGGACACAGCCAATTCTAATAGTTTTTTTGCCCAGATATTTTTTGATGGAGAAAGAGTATATTGCCAAATGCTAACAAGCTCAACTATCAACCATGACCTTTACAGAATCAGAAAAGCACTAACAATGTTGGTGGCTTCTGTGGTTCTGTGCCTGGTATCAGATGTTACAGAGGACGCACCACTGCCAGGGGTTTGCTTAGAACGCCATGAAGACAGTCCAGTAGTTAGGAGCCCCATCCCAAACCCCTCTTCCTGTTCAGATAATGACGGAACGGTGATTACTTTCAGAATGTTGTGCAGGTTTGAGTTTTCTGTGTACAGATGCTATGTTGGTGTGTGTGTGTGTGTGTGTGTGTGTGTGTGTGTGTGTGTGTGTGTGTCTGGATGGAGGAGAGAAAGCAAACTTTGTGTATGCAGCATGAAATCATTGTCTGTCCCTCACAGAAATGAGTACATTTCGTTAGGTTTTGACACCACGTACAAACTGATAGCAGCCTCGTTTTCATTTTGTTTACAACACATAGTGTTCTAGTCACTTTTTCCAGGGCACAAGTCTTTTTGTTCGTCCTTTGGCTGTGATGTCACAGTTTGTTAGTGAGGTTTAATGTGCTGCTGGGAATGGATTTTTTTTTTTTCAGGTTAAATTATTGCTATATTTCCATTTATTCAGAAATATCCCTTATTTCATTATTTTTCAATTATGTTTGAAAATAGAATTGCACTGCTTTATTTTAGATGGTTGCTTAAGAGTTTGATCACATATTTTGATATATTTCATAGTCGGAATATTTATGTAAATGGTTTTCAACAAGCCTGAAAGTGATTTCAAGAATGTTTCAGTTATACGAGTAAAATTTGCACACAAACATTTTAGGCACTTTTTAACATTCTCAGTGGTGGGAATTTTAACTTTTAGGGTTTGTTGGAATCTTTTTATTATCCTTAAAAATTTCAATGCTTCTTTTAGTCAGAAATGATTCAGGGTTATTTGAGGGGGGGAAAAACCCATAGTGCCTTGATTTTAATTCAGGTGATAACTCACCATCTTGAATTCATTGTCTGGTTTCAGTAGCAGTTTTGAAACCTTAGTACATTTTTAGCAGCATGTGGGTCTCAGTGTCATTCAGGTTCCCATGAGCACTGCTACATCTCTTGGACCACCTGAATAGTATCACAGTTGTTTATGGAATCCCAAAACTGTTTCCAAATCATTTATTTTCTTTTAAAGCTAAGTAGTCCTTTAAGAATTACCAGTAAATACTTGCTCAGAGAAAGGGTACAAACTGTCTTAACCTTCATCATAACACTAGAATATTATAGCTCACATGCTTTCTAAACATGAATTAAGATTTCATTTGGCAATATCATACTCTATAGGTAATAAATAAAAATCACATTTTAAAAGCATTTTTAAAAAATGTATGGTATTAATAATGAAATTTGCAATTATAGAACAAAAGATAAGTAGAATATAGAATATAAAACATTACTGAGACAAGGGAGGACAAGTGTGACAAATTAGAATTGACCTTAAAAGAATGTGTGCAACAGGAGTGAAGTTGCTAAACAAAGGTTTTCAGCAGTGAAAAGAACCTAATGCAGAATTGTTAGATAAGGGCTCAGGGGACTCGAGAACTCGGTCAGTTCTCTGTCTTCAGCTTTGCTCTCATCCTTCAGTGTGTCTTTGTTTTCCTGTTTACCTGACTGCAGTTAAGTTAGAAGGTTAGTGGTGTAAAAGAAAACAACCAAAGAAAATTGGTACCTACCCTTCTGCAAAAGAAGTGTGGCTAGATACCAGTCAGTAACTAACATATCACAGAGTCCTTCTAGCTGACACATGTGAATACCAGGGATAGTTGTGAGACTACATGTGTAGGCAGACGTATACACACATTATAAAATTGATGTAAACTAGAGCGCCCACATTGCTTTTCTCACTTTCCAAATTGCCTTCTTAATCTTATGCCATTCCATGTCATCTGAGTTGTGCCTCGTTTATTTTTTGGCAATATCTAGTGATAAGGATTTAGCTAACAGGAGCTATACTATACCATGTAATTCCTGTTCTTCACAGTTCATCTTCCTGCTTGAAAGTAGCAATTGATAAAGAGCTCCTAGCTGCTGACTTTGCTGTCCACATGGAGTGTCATGCTGGGCAACCCTTGTCGGCAACAGCTGCCTCTTAGTTCTTGGTTCTTTGGATGGCAAACTGTCCCTGTCTGCTCCCCACAAGACTTCAGCATTCTGATCAAGGTTCATCTGTTGCCTGGTCTTTATTTCTGTAGCCAAAGGTGTTGACTGAAACCCCAAATCTAAATCATGAAAAGATACCAAATAGAAACACTTCTCAGCTTCTTAGAATCCTTAACACCCCCCTGCTGTATTTCATGGGGATTCATTTTTCATTAAAAAAATGTTTATTCTGGGCAGTGCTTTTTAGTTAAGAATTGTTAGGGAAGGTCAGATAGACTCTAGTGGCCCTGCAGGTACCTTGCTCTGGACTGCTTCTGACGGAGTGACTTGGTGTTGCTGAACACGTAGGATGAGGACAGTACGCACAAAGCTGCTCTAGGAGGCTGCCATCAAGTCTGAGCTGACACACTGCAAAGTTACTCCTCTTCCTTAGAGTACAAATGACGGGAGGAAAGCAGATGTGGTAGGTAGGGTTTCTTGCAAATGAGCACTTCAGGCCCTTCCCCAAGCTCTGTCCTAAAGTTAGGGTAGCTTTGGAGTGCTGTGCTCCATTGTCGTATAGACATGGCTTTGGAATGTACTGCTAATACAAGAATGCCAGTGCTTTTGAATAGTCGGTGAGAGAAAACTGCAAACTAGTGAGTGTTTGAATTCTGGGTGCTGTAGCTGGTCGTTGCCTTAAAGCAGTCTCTTGAAGTTAGTGTGGAACCCTGAAGCAGTCCAGTCATATTAAGGGCATCATGTTGGGGGAAATGAGCCTTGTTCAAGCCTTAGAAAGGACCCTTAAATAGCCTAACAGGTAGATTCTTTTTACTTGGATATTACTGTGTTTAAAATCTTTCCACTACATTGAGGCAATTTTTTAAAAAGTGGAATGCAGATAGCATTTTTAGTATTTCTTTTCTGTTTCTTTGGTGACTAAAGGTTTGTTGATAAATATTTGTGTAAAACTCATTCACCTTTCCAGTACCTGTGGTACTGTTCTTATACCACAGAGTCCACATTGAAAGGTATAAACACTGGATATTAACATTGCCGAGGGCATATAGCCAGGAGTAAGCTGACTGGAACTCTTCAGTGGTGAAGAAACAGCACAAAGCACTTGCCATTTTCATAGTAATTGGAAAAGAGACCTTTTAAGTGTGTCTGGATTGAGTGAGTACTCTTCTAAGAGGAGCTTCTGAAGAAATTGCAAAGGAAAAGAGTTGACTATTTTTATAGCATATTTAATATATTTGTATATAACTATGAGTGTAGTAGGAACCCTCCACATGCCTCCCACTTTTCTAATTCCCTCCCCTTACGCCATAGCCCTAGTACAGCCTCATCCGCATGGGTAATGTGCCTATTGTCAGCCTACCTACCAAAAGATAGTGCTGCTGCTTTCTGAGACAGGTGAGATCAGACTCATGCCTGGGGATCCTTTATGGGAGGAATAGCACACACTTAGAACAACATACCACAGTCTAAACGCATCATTTTGAAAGGTAATAAGCACTTTATTGCAATTATTCATTTAGATAAAGTTTGTATCTTAGGCATTAACCATTTTTAAAGGATCCCCTAATCATCACTTAGGTGAAATTATAAATGACACATTTCTGAGAAATGTTTAGATCCAGTGAACCGTAGCAGGTTTATGGGAGTGATTTCAAGGTAGCCAAATAAACTATGACTTTTGTTTTTGAATGTGGTGGAGTCAGGAGATTGTAGATGCGTAGCTTGATTTAAACACTATTGTAAACCTATCTTGCCTATTGTGTGGACACCAAAAGAGACCAATGAGCCTGTTTATTTTCAGAGGTCTAGGAATATGCATCTGTCTGAGTAGATATACAGAACTAATCTGTAAATGGTTGGTAGTACTATTTTAGGATACAATAGTTTCAAGAATTATTGAGTGTTTTAAATGTGCCCTGAAATGTTGGCATGTCATTTCAGCGTTCCTATTTGAGTTGCTCTTGTAATATTTTTGCACAAAAAGGACTGAGAAAGACTGCTTTGGTTGAAGAAAACTATAATTTGGTCTTATTTTAATGTCTCCTGTGGAAACACTGGAGGTAAATTGTTGGTATCATTACTAATTCAGGATATTTAAAACAGTGTTGAACAGCTCACCAGAAATTAAGCAAACTTATATATTTAAAAATTAAAATTTTTTTCCACGTGACTGTTTTGCATATTTTTTCTGTTGTCATACACGACATTCCTTGTTTTTCTGAAATATACTTTGAAAGATTTGAGTCTTTAACAATGTGTTCTAAGCTACCTGGGTTTCCCCAGGAAAATGCCCTAGTGAAGTAGTTTGTATTTATATATAGTTTGTGGAGACTGTTGAGATCCCACCGACACCACCAGCAAAACACTGAGGTGCTGAACTCAGCGACAATCACAATAGTAAGTATTTATAGAAGGATTTAGAAGTGGCTGGAACACTTGTTCCAAAAGCACTTCTCTGGGTTGCGTGAATAAAATGGCTGTATATTTATATTTGTATCTCTGTGTTATCTAGTAAGTGGACTGGTCTCCTGTATTTAAGTTATTGCATCAGTATCTTGTCCTTGGAGGACTAGCTCTTGTTTGGGGAAGTCACTACCCTGCCCTCCAATGCTCCCCACTGACAGGTAATTGGGATTCATTCATTGTACATCAGGATGGTAGTGGAGGGTCAAACTGGGCATCCTGCACCTCCGGCCTCTCTTGAACTCATTTAAGGAGGAAAAAAAAGTTTTAAGCTAACTCCTTTCAGCTCTGCTTCACGTTACACCAACCTTTTCTTGTGTCACTTGTTGCATTCTCTGTGTCATAGGCACTTGTTAAAACTATGTCCCCAACATAGTCAAAGGCCAGTATGAGAGAACAGACGTAGCTTGATTTTGCCCATTTGGGGAAATGATAGCAAAATATTGTCCTTTAATGGTTGTCATCATTATATCCATATATTGAAGTCCTTACATATAGCTGGACAATGTGTGTACACTGAAAACTCTTTGAAAAGTTGGCTATCTCTAGATCCTGTATAGCCAGCACTGTCCAGTAAATCAGTGCTTCAACATGGGAAGCCTAGCTGTGCGAGGGGCCCTTCCTGCTCACATGAACTGGAATATGATTCTCCATTAGCACTCACTGTGGCTCTGGATTCCTACAGGCAGAGTCTAGCATACACAAGGATTCCTTGGAACAGTGATTAGAACACTGTCAGAAACAAGTTGGGTTTAATTACTCAAAAGGTAACTCTGAGGGGGTAAATTGAAAATATACCATTTTTAGATGTATGCCTTTAAGTCTAAGAAAACAAACTGTGACATCGCTTTAAGAAACGACAATCAAATGTTTATGTTTGAGTTGGCCTGTGCTGGTTTACATTTACTGTTGGCAGTGGTTTTAAGAGTACTGCAAAGCTAAAATCCAGAAGAAGCTGTTAAGTTGATGTATACCTAGAGAGTCCTCTTCAGGCAAAGACCCTGCTACAAAAAGCCCCTTACTAAGCAGTGGATGCGTCAGCCAGCACAATTATTTAAAGCATCCTGAAGTTATTTTGAAGTCTGTTTTCCTGTGGTTTAAGTTGGGAGAAACCTAGTGTAGCGCTTCCACATCCACCCTGTGTAAAGACTGAAGCCCAAAGACAAATTAGTGTTGTAATAAACCAGTTAGTGCAAAAAACCCCACATATATATAAACATATATATGTTCTACCTTTATAAACTGTTAATCAGTTCATAGCTGTACAAACATGCACCAGATTCTGTGTTCTGTGTGGTCTTGCTGTGCTCTTCCTGACATTGCTGTTCTTACTGCTTGGTTCTGAGTTTAAGTTAAAACAAGAATAAACGTAGCTCATCCCTTCCAGCTCCAAAAGGGAGATGCATATGGCTACTGGTCATCAGATAAGGATTACCTTTCTCCCCTACAGCAAGTGTTTAATTCAAATAAATGTAATCCATAGAGCTGAGACTGGTGTTCTTTCAGGCGTTACTCCTTGGCCCAAACTGGAGACACAATGGATAATGAATGGTTTCAATGGTGCTATATTAGGTTCCCTGGTCTTCATAGCTACATTTGGAAATACCGTCCTGAATAAAATACGGACTTTTCTGCTGCCAGTGAAATATTGCCATTTTAATTGGGTCTGATACAATTGGTTCTGCTTGTTTATTAAAGTTATCCTTTTGGCATGCCGTCACTCAGGCCTCTTGCTGTAGGAGGTGCACAGCTTTGACTTAAAATCTTCATGTACTATCTTAATGCGCAAATTTTCCTTAGACTTTGTAATGTATTCAGAACCTAAAACTACAGCAAAAGAGCCAAGCAGTAGCAATGTTTTATTTTTTGTAAGTGTAAAAATAATTAGATCCAGACTTTGTTTCCTTCAGTTTTAAAAATAAAGAATACCTCAGTGCTGCTTCTCAGTATCACCTGCTTTATGTGGCACATATGTTGTAAGAGTCACATCTGGATTAATAGAAAGACTATTAAATGTTTTTAAATCTGTCAGACATTTTCCTTTCTTTATTCAACAGTGGGCCCAATTGTGTTAACAGTGTTTACCTTGTAGCTTATGTTTTACATTCCACTTTCTCTTAAGAAATGGTGCCCAGCAGCTACAAGAATGCTTCCTCAGACAGCTATGCTTACTTCTCACATCCTCACCCAGTGCTTGGGCTATGCTGCCATTCACCAGGTTAACAGCAGCTGCCAGCTACTTTCTAGTTATGGCATGTCTAACCAATTATTTAGAAGGTGTAGTGTGGGGACGTGACTTTAGAGTTTCTTTAGGGTGTTTTAACTCATGGTAATTGTTTTCTAACACTGTACTTTTTATGGAGTTGGAAAACTCCTTAAAAGTGAGCAGAAATGATTTCATAAATACTTGCTACTGCCTAATATTTGGAAGAGCTAACAACTAAAAAGCAACTTCAGCAGTTTTCAGAAGGCCGTAAGGAGACTTCACTGGGTTCTTCATGTCTTCAAGTTACATATTACAGTGTGTACATTTGTCATCACTGTCTGCGCTGTTCTGCTGTGTTCCACACAGGAACGCCTCGACATCTGTATAGAATGCCTTCATATTTAAAAAGACTATTACATTACACTAGAACACAGGCTGGGAGAAAACAGCCTTTGCCACCTGGGTGCACAGAGCAGCCACAACACAGAGTGGTCACGGAGATCTCTGTGATCGAGGGCAACAACCTCGATGCTTGCGGGCTCTGCTTTAAACTGCATATATTAGTTTCTTGTAGGAAATAACAATATAATCATAGTAAGAGAAAATACTACTTTGGTAAGTTACAAGGTATTTTGTGTAACACAAGGAAAAACAAGTACTAGTCACACCACTTTTATTTACATTGTATTTGTTACATTGTTTATTCAATATAGAAAAAATATGAATACATTCATAGTATTCTTTTAATTTGGTAAGTCCATGTTGTCAAATATTGACTATTTTTATATTGGGTGTCCTACCCAATTAAAAAAAAAGAGGGATAATGGACTTAGCCAGCAACTCTTACTGTTTGTAATTGATACAACAGAAACACCTTATTTCTCTCTTTAATCCTAATTCCCCAAAGACAAAACTACTGATTACTATACTGGCTCAGGAATATGTTTTTAAAAGTAGAAATAATTCATTCTTTCCCCCGAGGAAATGTATAAGGTATACATATAAATACCCCAGTGGCCAAGGAGAAAATGTGTTTATAAAGGGGTCATGCTTCAAGAAAACTCACGCAGTCAGCCCCACTCCTGTGGACACACATGTCAAGCAGAAGTGGGGCTGAAGTGTAAACATAATTAGGCTAGAGAAAACCCACACTTAGAAGCCAGACTTTTCTTTTAAAAATGTTTACAAATAGAATCAATGATTATCTCTTTTAGACATAATAATTAAATGGGTCAAACTTACAAATTAATGCTACAAAATACAGTATTTTCCATTGCTTTTAGTTGTAATGTACATTATGTACAGAAAGACAATAGTTGCATATCTTCGGCTGAATACAGATGAACAGCTTTTTAAAAACCAGAATCTGGACTTATAAATAGAGCAGAAAATGCAAATGCCAAAAAAACGATGCCTCCTATGATTGTCACTGGAAAAAAAAAGAGAAGATGAGTAAGGCAACATTTCTTCCACTGTGACATTATGCCAACAAAACCACGTTTCCCTGTATTTCCAACCTCACTAACTGCTCTTGAAAACAATGCCAGTGGCACAGCATTCCTCAATCTCTACTCTTCCCTGAAACTCAGACCTTTGGGCACTGCTTACAGAAAGAATTACGTTAAACTAAGTGTTGGCAAGCAGCAGTTGGACTGTAGTAACTCATCCTTTTTAAAAATCAAGAACATACAGGACCAAGGGAAATGGCACAGCATGAAAAGGTGCTGATGCCAAACCTGACCATCAATGCTCAGAAGCTCAGACCCCAGCTCCCTTTAAATGTTCAAGTCTCACACAGGGTCTGCTTATTAAACACTTGAGGCCAAAACTCACATAGTTCCACAAGTTTTTCTCTGGCTTAGAAAACAAGTTTGGCTGTGTTTTAGATCAACTTGCAATTTTCTAATGTGTACACATGGGGAAGTCAGTGGACCCACGGGTAATGAATACCCAGGCCCAGGTGGGAAGCAGGGACCATGTGGCCTCTGGAGGAGATTCTTTTTCAGAGCTAGTACTCTAATATCTGTGATTTTCAAGCCTTAGAACAGATGCCTCTTGCAATTTTAATTAAAAAAGAGACCTTACCGGTTCTGACAGAGATTTTTTGTGCTATCATCCTTCCTCCAATTACTGCCAATCCAGTGCATAAGCAGTGTCCCACTGTTCCACCCACTGCTACGCCGTAGGGATCCTGGAAGCAGATGTAGCTAGTGTTAATTTGGTAAGTCAGATGCTGCTTGAGAAGAAGAGTATCAACTAGAACTGGATACAGGTCATGAACCATACAACGCCAGAGGCAGTTGAGAAATCATGAAACAGGAAATAGCTGCTTCAGGAAACATGGACAGTGCAAAGCTTTATCTGAATGTTTTAAGTCCTATATGGTAGAGTTTTGCTGTGCTTACTGAGAGCAGAAATCCTTCCCCTTAACTCTTGTGCTTTTAGCCCAAGGTAAGAAATAATACCAGAATGAACTGGAAGGGTTTCCAGAAGATAGCCCAGAAGAGTAGGTAAGAACCCCATGTCTTTTGTGAAGGAAGAAACAACAGAGTATTGTAGTATTTCTACAGAGAGTCAAGGAGGCTCTGAAGGAGTCCTTGAAGGGAGGGTGGGAGTCAGGGATGGGGTTGTAGTGCCGTAGGTGCCACTCGTGTGCCAGGGCTCAATGCCCAGCTACAAGAAATCCCTATGAACTCAGACTCTGCTGTCAGCCTTTGTCTTGAGACACTGGCCAGTTTTTAACATAAGCTGATTTCTGTTGTCAAAATCTAAAGGAGACAATTAACTACACGGGACTAAGTCCAATGAGAAATGACAACCCTGATAAGAAACAGTGCTGAGTGGACTGGGAGGAGATGAAGGCGCATGGGACATCTGAAATCAGGTGTGACAAATAACTGAAGAACAGTGATACTGATGTGATAGACGGGGACCACTCAGTGGTTAGAAATACTTGCTGATCTTGAGGATCAGAGTTCCTTTCTAGCATCCATGTCAGGTGGCTCACCACTGCCTGGAACTGTTTCTAGGGAATTCAATACTTTCTTCTGGCTTCTGCAAGCACCCGCATACACATGGCATATACAGACTCACACATGTAATTTTAAAAGGAGCAGAGAAGAATGGATTATGGGTGCTAGCAAATGAAAAGATGAGTATATTCAATTGAAAGCCAGGCACAGCACCCTTGTAACCTCAGGAGGCTTAGGCAGGAGTGCCTGAAATTCAAGGCCGGCCCGGAATAGAGAAAGAGGATCGCCTTTTCAAAAGGTCAGGTTTGATGGTGAATAACATCACCTCAGATAGCACGCATAAAAACTCCTGGAGAAAAGTATGGACAAGTCAACTGTGATGTAATCAACAGAATGAAGACTACCAGGTGCTTGGCCTCAACAGGTCTCAGCACTCGTGAACATCCCTGATGTCTTATTTTTCTTGGTCTGTGATAAACTGGAAAAGGCAACTTCAGGGCGGTGGATTGCTTCAGTTCACAGTTGAGTATAGCTCATCATGTGGAGGAGCTTGAAGCAACTGCTCAAGTCTCCCAAGAAGCAGACACTGATGAATGCTTGTGCTCAGCTCACTTCCTCCTTATGTAGTCCAGGATCTGAGACCAGGGAATGGTTCCTCCCCACTCGTAAGTGGGATCTTCTAACCTACTCTAGTCCGCTCAAGTTCATAACAGATTTACTATCCCACACTGTGAGGTCAGCAATTGGACGGGAGCTCTGTCCACTTAACAAACCACAATAATCAATGATCTTTGAACTTTCAGAAGGTCAGAGTAGAATATGGAACAGAAGGACCAAGGAAAGGGGTTTCATTCCCCTCTAAAGACAAAGTGGAGAGAGTAAGGTAGAAAACGCTCACAAAATTGAGCTGGGAGAAAGGCAAATTTACATTATAAGGAGAGTGGGATGCTGGGGTCCAGGAATGCACTGGCTGGTTGGGATGAAGAAAGCTGCCAGCTGCTGTGAGATGCAACGGCAGCATACATACAGTCTGTACATGTACCAGAGAATGCGGTGGTTTCATGCCATCTGAAAATAAAACGGTACTAGAAAAAAATCAGTGAGTTAAAATTCTTTTAGCAAAGACTGAAAAAAGATGCTGTTAACCTGTATTAATGGAGCCTTCAAAAGCAAAATAGCATGATTCACGCAAAGAATAATGTTACAGGAAAAAACCAGACAGTTTGAGAGCTCTTTAAGAACAGCTACAGTGTAAGAGACACAGAAGAGCATCTAACCCGTGAGTGCTGGACAGCCCTATGCATTGTTGTACTCCTCCTGAAGACAGAAATCCACAAAGCAGGGCAGTGCCTCCCCTAACCCTGGCAGTGGCAGAACCTCTTCCACCACAAGCTCATTTCCAAGGCCCAATTCTGGAATTCTAAGAGCTGATAGAAGACTAGAAATGAAGACAAGACATAACCATTAAGGAATATTTTTAAAGTTTGTCTTACAAGAATCAAATGGGAGAGTTCCTTTCTTGTTTTTTCCATCTCCAAATAAAGCATTTTTAAGGTTCTCTGACAAAACCTTTTCCTATGATCTCAGCCTCAGCCTGAAATACTTTCTATTTTAAGCTATAGGAATGTTAAGGAACTTGATCTTTTATGACAGACATTTCCAAGGATTTAAATGTTTCAGTGTACAATAGCATAACTGATCCAGAGTTAAGATCTAGAGTGTGCAGCTCGTCAGGATGTCGGCATCTGTGGACAAGAACTGACATTTGATGGGAGATGACAGTTAACTACTCTCTACCGGCCCTCAATAGCAAGCCAATAGGATCAAAACACAGAGACAAGCTCACTTCTGGT